GACACTTTTTCACGATTTTGGACTCAGTATGACACTTTTTCACGATTATGGACTCAGTATGACACTTTTTCACGATTATGGACTCAGTATGTCACGTTTTTCTCATCTACACAAATTCAAACAAACCTTTTTCGTAAATTTTACATTCAAATGAAACGTTTTTTATTTATAAAATGTAATTGAGGAAAAATCAGAGCAACATTTATGAATTCAATTTTCTACCGGCTCATGATTTTTTCAAAAACCTATTTGAAAGTTTTGAGTCAGTTTTTTCATAATCGAACACTGTACCAGGAGTTCATAAACACATAATCGACCACAGTATCAGGAGTTCATACACAACGATCATATATAACATAATGGATCACAGCACTAAGAATTAATAATTTTGTTATTACAGAGAAAAACAACAATTTGATGAAGAATGTCCTTCTACATGTATCATTTTTTTGTACATTTTGGACTCAGTATGACACGATATTCTTTTATGAAATAAAATCTTACTTCAATTCATACTTAAATAGTAGTAATTGATAGTTTAAGTTTCGTAGTCACATGGGCTAGAGGGTTAAGGCGTCAGTGATAATAAAAATAATTTAAATTTAGGATAAGGTAGGTATCGATTACGATGTTGTTGACGTTAACATTGTTGTCTTAGCCAACTAGCCCATGTGACTACATTTTACTACGATTAATGATATCACATTTTTTTGTGCAATTTATAACAATTAGACTGTATGAAGTTTAAAACAAAAAAATAACTAATATTAATATATTACAAGGTGATGTTGTGTTCGAAACCCGTATACAGGTTGAAGTTTTTTTTTAATTTTTCACATTATTTTATTTATTTTATTCATTATTTTAGTTCAACTATAAACACTAGATAGCACAAAGTTCATTATGTATTTTTCTGTTTTTCATTTTTTTTTTTCATATTGATAATGTAAAAGCTAATGCTTTTAGTGTTTTAATTCATTTCATCAGTGCTCGGTGTGGAAGATAAACATACTATTTACTATTGCTAGGTTTATCAAATATTAATCAAAAATGGATTTGTTAGCAGAAATCGAAAGGGATATAGCTGAAATTGGTGTAATTTATCCTGTAAGATTTTGTTATAATGAACTGGGCGATTTCTATACTCAATTAGCTAAATTGAAAAGTTTGGCTATTAAATGTGGATTGGAAAAGAACAATGATCATTATTTGATTTGTGCTTGGTCCAATGAAAAATGCCAATGTGGACCAGACACGTGTATGTGTATTATTGCAAATTTTACATTTTTTGATTTAAAAAAAAAATTAATGGTTATAAAGCAAAGATTATTAGTCAAATAAGTATACATTTTTTAATATCTTTAAAAACACATACCTGTATTGCCATATTTTCACTTAATCAATCGTTCAGAGCTTGCTGTGTCATTAGTTATGTTTTTGCCGTGGTTCAATATTGACTGTGTTTGTTTTTATAAATTATTTTAATTATTTTTTAATGTGTCAAATGTATTTATTACTACCAATTGGTAGTACACAAATTCAAAAAAATTGTAATTGTATTTTATCAGTTATCAAACCAACAAAATGTCATCATACCATGTGTACAGCTCCGATTAAGAAACTAAGGCGATCAACTAGAGTAACAAAACAACCCTCATATTTCCATCGGGAATTTAATTATTAAACTGTCATTACTTTCAATCATAGTAATGGATGCCGTCATATGTAAATCGGTTTTCAGCATTCAACAACATAATAGAAAAAACATTTTTGTTGGCTATCTACTCAATCGTTATTTGACTGTTGTTATTTTATTTGTATGTAATGTGAGTAAACAGTATTTAATATTTAATATTAGCCAATGGAATAAATTTATGAGTACAGATATTTTTCAATTCATGTTCAATAACACATCCACATCAAATCATTCAAAGCGAATAAAATTAGACAGTAATTTTTTTTACAAAGTTTGTGTAAAATCTGACTCAGTTAAACTTCAACTTAACAATAATCGAATTACAATAAGTCACAACAATTTTCAACGTATACAATTTTGTAGTGCATGTATTAATGCTTGTATCATAGAAAAATCAAATAAATTAAACTTTTACCAAACTGTAATTGATGATGCTTACAAGGCAATTAAATATGAAATGTTATATTTACCACCAGAATGTATTAGATGTGATTTTATTAGTACATATATTAAAGATTACAATTTTAAAATGGACAATATGAAAGATGAAGATAAATCATTTATACTGGAATTGCAGTTATTGTATCATGAAAAATTTGCCGAAATCATATTACAACCGGAATCAACAATTATCATAACCGAATGATTAATTTCACTTTATTATTCATAGATTTATTTTTCACTTTATCACTTATTTTAGAATTATTATTTTTTCATTTTTCAAAATTGCTGTTTATTATGTGTATACGTCTATATTTGTATTAATATTTTTTCATATCGTATTTATTGATTAAATTTGATTCATACTACATGGTTTATTATAGAATAATTATTATATTATTTTTCATGTTTATTGTGTGGATAAAATAATTTGTACTTGTAGTAATATTTTTCATAGTTTATATTTATGATTTGAATTTGTTTCATATTATATCAATTATATTTACATTATTATTATATAATTTTTTATTTTTAAGTATAAAGTCATGTTTATTTCATAGATAAAATACTTAGTAATTATATTAGTTTCATGCATAATATTCACTTTACTTTTTCACTCATAAATCGTTTTCTTTAATACTACTTATAAAAGTGACATTTGACGATTTAAAATTCATTGTTTTTTAAATTGATTTGATATAATGTTTCATGTTCATTTATCATAATAAAACTTAGGATTTCATAAAATATAGAAATATGATAAAATTGAATATTCAGTTTAAAATTTTATTATCAAAATAAATAAGTAATATTCAAATCGTGCTAATATAATGCATTGATTGCGAGCAGGGCCGGATTTAGAACAAGTGCCGCCCTAGGCCCTTTTAAATATGTCGCCTCTACCCCAAGAAAAAAAAATTGTAATTATTACAAATAAATTTATTTCATTTTAAAGAAATTAGGTCAATAGTCATTATAAACAAAACAAATAATAATTATAAATCCTAATTAGGCATTATCAGTATACATTTTGAATCTTAATCTTAAAATAATCTTAATAATCTTTAATCTTATACCTAGTAATACTTAATAGTTAAACTTATACCTAATCATAACCTATGTTATCTATAACATTTTACGACGAACTTTTTTAGACGCGAAATCGTCGATTATATCATCATAATTTATACTCCGAAGCATCTCAGATTCTATGTGTAGTATTGATGTCGCGTTTAATCTATCTGACTCCAAAGTTGAACGAAGATGCGATTTTACTCTTTTCAATGCTGAAAACGACCGCTCTGCTGTACAATTTGTTGCAAACGTGCACAAATACATACGTAACGCTGTTGTGACGTTCGGATAAATATCTATTAAATCATTTGTATACAACATCTTACAAAGTTCTTGGGCGTTTCTTTTTTTATCAGATTTAAAAAAAAGATGATCACGCAAATGAAGACATTCATTTGTAAATGATTCTTCAATATCATTAGGATATTGTTCTATTAGTGCCCTAGTTTTCTCAGAAATTATTTCCTCGTCAAAACTACAAATATTTGTAAGAAAATCAAACTTGACACATAAATTTTTATATGAACTGCCTCGCCTTACGAGTTCAGCATTCAATTTATCCAATATAACGAAGAATACATTTATTCTGAAATCTTCCTTGCCTGTTTCTGTGATCACTTCATTCATTGTTTCGTCGAATTGACGTTTTCTCTTAACAGTTCTCCGCTTGTCTTTTTTGTACTGCATTTCACCGCATATTTGTATAGCTTTTCCTTCATATTCTTCAAAATTATTTCTAATTCTAGATATGTACTGCTCTAAGGATCCATATAATTCAACAATCATTCCTAACTCAATATTAACTGATTGAAGTTTTTTATTAACTATATGAAACCTTTCTAATACTTCATTCCAAAAAACAGTCATAAAGCACATTTCTATAGTATTAAAAGGTTTCAAAAGAACTGAAGCGTCAAATTTTGTTACAGGTTTTTCATTGGCATCATCAATAATAGCCTGTAAAGCGTTTTTAATTTCACTCCAAGAAGTACATAAAGATTTACCCGCTTCGTATCTTGCTGACCATCGGGTTTGAGACAAACTTTTTACACACTTAGACTTTTTTAAATAAAATAGTAAAATTTCCCAACGATGGGTAGATGCTGTGAAAAAGTTATATAATTCTTGTAGATATCTAAAATATGTTGTCGATTTTTCACAGCAATCCACGGCAGATATCCCCACAAGATTTAGGGAATGTACTGAGCAAGGGACATAAATGGCCAACGGAATAACTTCTTTAATTCTGGCTTGAAGGCCAGTGTATTTACCAGCCATGTTACTGGCATTATCGTATGACTGCCCGCGGCAATTTTTAATATCCAAATTATATTGATTAAGTGTATCAAAAACTGCATCAGCAAGTTGTTCAGATTTATGCCCAGTATTGGCAATAAACTTTAAAAATCGTTCTATAGGAGTACCATCTTTTGAAATGTATCTTATGATAAAAGACAACTGATCAACATGGGATACGTCGGGCGTCGAATCAACGCTTATCGAAAAATACTTTGAAACTTTGACTTCTTCAACTATTTGTTTTGTAATTTTTTCTGCCATAATTTGTATAAACTCTCCGTATGTCTGTGAAGATAGATACGATGTATTACCACTACCGATTTTACCGTAATGGCGAATATGCTCTGATAGAAAGGGATCAAATTCTGCTAAAAGCTCTAATGTCATAATGAAATTACCGCTATGATACGACCCAAATTTTTCTTCACTGCCTCTCAATGGTAACCCTCGAATTACTAAAGAACGTACAGTAGCAACTATTCTTTTTAAAATATTTCGCCAATAATTGGTTTCTTGTTCTAATTGCAAAACAATTTCTTGGTTTATTTTACCTGCAGTTTTCCCCCTTTCGATTAATGCAACTGTTGAAGTTTTATGAGGAATAGAATTTTCGTGATCGTTTAATTTTCGTACAGCATTTTTCCAATCATTAAAACCAATAGTTACTAATGTTGATAAATGTGCACTTCCAAAGAGTCGACATGGTGCACAAAACACTGTACCAGTAGATTTCGAAAACACTAACCATGGTCGTGACTGTACTTCACCATTTATACGTGTTCTAACAAATAATGATTTATTTAAAAATCTATTTTTGTCAGGATACTCACGTTTAGAACATGTAAAATCATCATTTAAATTTTGATTTATTCCGTGTTTTGCCACATAATCGCGAGTTACATCATTAATAATCCATTTAGCCGGATCATTATAATCAATATAAAATGTAGCCGGATCCATATTTAAAGTAGAAGTTGTTAAATTATTAATGACCAAATCCGATTCGCACTTACTCGTTTCAATCTCTTCTAAATCATGTTGATGTTGTTGACCATTATCAGGTGCATTCAAAGAAGACGGTGTAGCAGGTTTAAAGAAAGTGCTTAGTTTAGGTATTTTATTTAGAACTTTACTCTCTTTATATTCTTTATCTTTGGCTCGCTTTTTATACTCTGAACCACTAAAACGTTTACGACCGTCACTCATAGTGAAAAAATGCTAAATACTGTAAATTATTAATTATTATTTATTAAATATATTATGTTGTAATATGCACTCCCGACAATGACGAACAATAAACTGAAATGAATTGTGGTCGTGTGCGATGTGGATACACAATATCTTTAGCCAATTTCTATATATATTATATTTTTATCGTAATTACTTTTAGGAACAACTTATATTATTATATACCTAGGTAGGTATCTTATCTTTATAGCTCACATTACGAGAAAATTGATTTCGGGTTAGTGACATTTCAGTTTCATGCGCCCGTATATTTTACATACAGATATCTAAAAAAAAATCATATAAATATTTCATGCATTCATATGATTCTTTTTTTATTTCTTACAAAATTTGCCGCCCCAAAAAATTTGCCGCCCTAGGCCCGGGCCTCACGGGCCTAGGCGTAAATACGGCCCTGTGACTCGCACATCTTCTTCACATTGCGTCTTCTTGCGACCTTGTACGATTAAAAATAATTTCGATAATTTTACTGATAC